CTGATTGTTGTTTTTGTCTTTTTCTGTATTATCTGTAATTGATTGATATATTAAGAAAGATGTTGTACCAGTTTTAAACTAAAACTAAGTCTAAGTCAAGGACTATCTGTATGTCGGAATATTACATTTTAGAGAGAAACCCACTATTAAATTATTACATTTTAGAGAGAAGCTTGCTATTATTAAGTTTACTATGTACTATTTAGCTGGTATGTTTGTAAAGCCTTGGATCTCTCATCTTGCTGGTTGGACTTTCTTTTCGACCTAACTTCAGTCCTGGGTCAGGAGTGGAAATAAGTTAAAGATGCCACATTTGTGTCTTAGTGCACTACTAATTCATTTCTTTAAGCAACAGCAACTCTGCTCCAAGAAAACCACATTTGGCCCATTTTAAACCCCCATCCATGTGTGCTCCAGAAAACAAGACGTTTCTTTTAAAAAAGATGACACACACATTTTGTGCTCCTGCCAAGGGTTAACCCTGAATAAAGAGTCGTTTTTATTTTATTTTGCTGATTTTAACAAATGTGCTATTTGTATTTTAATAGACCACAATATTCTTTTTAGTTTATGACTGCAGTTCCGCACAATCTAAATTATTTACATGCCTTTTCGGTGGGTTCTGCAGTACTACTAGATTAGGAGCGCCTCCGTTAATAAGATTTCAAATTACATTCCTCTGTTGCCATTTTGATGCAAATGAGTTCGTTTTGTATTTTGTTTGCTCTTTCGGTTTTAAGTATTGGTTGCTAAATTCAGTTGAATGCATCAGAAAGAATTCGTGTTTTTTTTTTCAAGGTAGAGGTGATGAATAAAATATTACTACAGAGGAGAGGGAAAATCTCCCATCGGGATTTAAACAGCTTTAAACAGAGGTGTAAGCCTTGCATCGCTTAAAGAGAGAGAGAGAGAGACAGAAAGAGAGACAGACAGACTTCACTGAAGCCAAATGCAGAATACTGTGTGTGCTTCATTATCAGACAGAAAGTGAACCAAATATTTAGCAAGAACTTGAATCACTTTCGTTGGTTTTTGGTTTTGTCCCAAAGGTGCCTTTTCAGGAAGCAACTGGACTTCCTTGTTTCTCTTTTGAGGACGTTTCGCTTCTCATCCAAGAGGCTTCTTCAGCTGTGACAGGAGAGTAAGGAATGGAAGGATTTATATTCCTTTTAGAGGGTCGTTGAAGCACTTGGAGGTTTATCTCTGTCCTTAGGGTCACCTGAGTAGTGTTTCATGGTTCCGGAAGTCCACCATTTTTTTCTCCGGAAATCCATTCCTGCCCCCGCACCATTCCAAGGATGTCCATCCCAAATTGTATAGCTAAAGGTCTGTAGAGATTCTCAGTCATCTCAGGTCCTTTCCTGAGTAAGATTTGGCAGAGGGGATTCTGGGAAAAGTGGAGGGTGTTATGGGTACATCAGAAAAGCACAAAAGTAAACATTTCATTCATTTAATCCTTGGTGCTCTCTGAATTTGATGTGTTTGTCAGCAGAATGTTTTCATTACCAACCTAAAATTAAATGATCCTTCTTAGTTATTTCAGAGTTTAGATATAAAGTGATACAGTTTCTTTCTTTCT